ATCTCTCATATGACCTAAACGCCAACATCGAGTACAGTATGTCATTCAATTTCCAGCGAGGAAGGGAGTAATAGTGCAGAATGTATTTCCAATCGATATTCGACCTAATTTTAATGTTGAATTATATTCACGTAAATCTTTAACAATAAATCGAAAATCATTTGCTCTTCGTTGAAAATGATACTGAATACGTCTAACATTTTCGGTTGATTGAAGATTTCGTTCGATTTCCTCTTTCACATATTCGTCATTGTACTGGAGCGGTACGTAACGAACAACAAGAGCAAAGGAATCGGGAATAAATTTCGGTTTAATTACGGTAATATTAATATTATTGATTTGTGACGGCCATTTATCAGTAGATATTAATGTTGCATACAACTCTTTGTTGTTTACTCCTAATTTTAATTTATTGCCTGCATGACCGACGAGAGAGAACGTAATCGAGATTCCTTGTTATTTAAAATGTTCTTCTATTATACTTGCTGCTGTTACATCGGATGGTCGGTTCTTCGAGTTATCAACTTGATCATATTAAATTAAAAAACATGGAAGATTACTTGAAATAGCGCGTTTTAGCTGTTCAAACGGAAGACGACGTTGTTGCTGGTCGGATGCTTGTTGTTGGGGTTGATCTAGTACAGGATTCCAATCTAGTAAATGTGCAGAGTTTGGAGCCATTGACAGATTCATTTGACCAGTATTTTTTTGTTTATCGTTCGAAAAAACACGTTGTTGTTCTGATATTTGTGCATGATCATTATCATTTGAATCTAAGTTTCGTTTAGCTGTTTGAGGTGTTGATGACTCAATTGGCGCGTCGAGATGTTGAGGATATGGAACTTGAATAGGATGTTGATGAACACGGAATGCAACATTGGGATTTTGACCGATGTACGCGATCATTTCTTCCAAATTGTAGCTGCTTACTGTATTGATATTTCCAGCGGTCGTTCGTTGATTAGTTTTTGTCATGGCGTTGATAGATAAGTTGTTTAGCTACAATTTTGTTAATGAACTTTTCTTATTAGAACGATAATTACCGTTGATTCCTTTCCTCATTCAAGTAAGAAGAGGAGGAGGAGGATGATGATGACGACGAGAATGGAATGTAAGCAAGCGCTTATGCGTCTGCTCTCTCTCGAGAGAAAGGATGAAAATGGTAAGGTTAGAAATACAAAATATATTCTTCCATAAATATATTGCTCTGAAAATTCAATCCTTTCTTTTTCAACAACT